TTTTTTTTTTAAAGATATTATATGATTTAATTTTAAATTAATTAAAATTTAATATAATTTTTAAATATTAGAGATTTAATTAAAAAATTAATAAATCAAGTCAACAACGAGTCTTCGGCCTTTGGGCCCGACCCACCTTGCCGCCATTAGCGAGCCAATGACGAGTCTTCCGCCTCAGCCACCTTGCGGCCCGTATGTAATACGTGGTACTCTTTATCTCTGTTTTTCTTCCTTTATTAATTTATTAATCATATTAAATCTGATTAATTTCAAAATTGAGTCGCCGTGGAATTTCATTTAAAAAACAATTGTTCAACGCTTATTTCTACAAAATTTAAATTCAAAATTTTATTTTAAAAAAAACTAAATTCCTTCCTATTTACCTTAAAGATAGTCTATCTCTCCCTATTAAAACACCAAAAGCAGCTTTTCGTAACAAATTAACGAGTGTCTGATCAGTACCTCTTATCTGCTAGATTTAAACATTCTCTTAACTTTGTTTCCCACAAACACGGCTATCGTTAGTGCTATACTTACATTAGTTAAAGTCATGAACGGTTAAATTTTTTTTTAATTTAATTAATAAAATAATTAATATTTATTATTTAATACATTAAAATTAATTTTTAAATATTTTAATTCATTATTTAAAAATTATAAATTAATAAAATTATAATTAAAATTAACAATTTTAATAAAATATTTGATGACAATAAATTCAGCCAATAAGAGAAGGCCACGACTTTTTTTCTTGCAAAAAAAAGGCAAAACCATAACTTAAGCCCCTGAACTAACCCCAGAATCGCTATTAAGCCCTTAGACTATAATTGATACATATAAGCCCCTGAACTTTGCAATCGAAACAATTGAGCCCTTACTCTCACTGCCGTCTTAACTGCCGTTAATTACTGTTAACTGCTATTAACTGCCTTTCAGGTACTGCCTCGTGTGACAAAATATGGCCATCTCATGATTCTCATCCGTAGGTGGCAAGGGATTTTGTATTTAATTTGTTCACCTGAATGTAAAAAAAGATAAAAAA